CACACACACACACACACACACACACACACACACACCGAGCACCCTGCTAGTGTTAGGAATACAACCATCAACATGCCAGCAATCCCAATCCCCAAAAGCTGAAACTCCATGAAAGATAAGCATTGAATAGATAGCTACATAAAGAAATCAAAATTGCCACACTGTAGTTGATGATATAAAGAAAAATAGGAAGGTCCTATTGTATGATAGGGTTATAAAAGAACCTAACTTATATTTGTGGGATCAGAGGAGAGATCCCTGAGAAAAGACTCAATGAATGCACTAGGATTTTCTGAAGCAAAAATGAGCAGGTAGTTATTTTAAGAAAGTAAGAATTTAAAAGACCATAGTATTTTTAAGCAACTGAAAAAAAAGGGGGGGCCTATGGGTGGAAATAGTGATCAAGGATAAGAGGAGGCTGAGAAGCAGGCAAGGGTCAGATCACACAAGGATCCGACTTCATTGAGTGTCCTTGTTCACCTGGGCAATTCAGTTCCCTTCCACTTACCTGGACCACAGAGGGATCCTAAGCCTAGGAAAATTATTCTTCCTGAAACCCCAGTCCTATTCCAGACATATGAATCACTTTCCAATTGGAATAATTTAAGGCCAGTTTCTTTGAAAGTTAACCATATAAATAAGTACATTCAATGAAATTATAATACTTCACCTTAATATAATTAAGGCTGATGGAATAGGATGAAATTTTATATTCAATAGAATTCCTCTTTGAAAGAATACAGTATTTGTTTGGAAGGAAGAAAACCATTAATAAATTGTTTGCAATGGAAATTAAGGCTAAAGGCAAGGTCAAATAACCAAGATGGATAAGCTCTTATGTCTAGAAAAGAGAAGATTACATGGAGGAGAAAGAGATGGAGAATGAAGAAGCAGAGGAGGTGGGAGCAAGCAAAATGGTCAATTTCATTTCCCTGTGCAATACCCACCTCCCCATGGCCCCCCAAAGGCTCAACGTGGTCACACTATTGAGGGAGGTGATAAAGTGCTGTCCCAGGTGACACCGGGAACACAAAAACAACTTACATGAAGCTACAGGGAAGAGGGAGGCTACCCCTTTCATCCTGGTAAAATGTATATCTGGATTTGATTTTCGTAATTACCATGAAACTAAACATGAAGGGAAAACTGAGGCTTCAAGGTCACAAATTGATTTTGACTCCAGGTTCTGCACTCACAGGTGCTACAACCTCTAGATTTACCAAACATTCCCTAGACTGTGACCAAATCATCAGGTGAAATGCAATGATATTTTTAACATTTCTATAAAGATTTGAAATAAAACAAAATGCCAACCATTCTTGACATGTAGTACCTACAATCATAACTGAACTAAAGAGAGAAGCAGAAGATAAAACTTTAAAATAGAATTTTTACCTTTGCTGATTATTAGATATATCTGAATATTTCAAGATGTTTTCATTTAGAAAGTTTATAAAGTTAGACTAGTGACTTTTAAAAGTAGATAATGCAAAATGTGATGTTTGCAATGTGCATGTTTATGTGTTCATGTGACCAAAGACTGAAAATTAATGAAGGAGAATTTAAATGGTTGAATTTTAGTAGCCTTGTTTTTCTTTTCCAAGTTTGTTCAATGTTGCTCTTAGATTTCTAATGAGAGAGGAGAGCAGAGTGGAGAGGAGAGGCGTGAAGGGGAGGGGAAAAGAGAAAGAAGTAATATCTTTAAAAATACTAATATCTGGAACATATGTCTCTTTCTCAATGTCAAAAGCAGCATCCTGTCATATAAGGCCCCTAGTATTCCACAAGACAGGTCCATACTCCTGCCATAGATAACTGGAAAGATAAAAATGATTATCTGAGTATTTATTTTATTCCAGGCACCACAATGCGTTCTTGTGTGTATCTCTTTCTTCTTGATGATTCTGTGAAATCAGTATCATTATTATCACATTTTACCATTTTGGAATCTGAGACTGACAGAAGTAATGAAGCTTCTCTAGGGTAAGACCATGATAGAGTCAATATTTTCAGCCTTTAAGCACTGTCCAGTCAGAATAAAACAGGCTAATAACTTGACATCTTCAAAATATTTGTCACATAGGATTAGAGGAGGGGTAAACTCTAAGAACAGCCCAGTCAAATCCATGACTGGGTAAAACAAAAGCCCCGGTATTATAGACTTCAAAGCCTTACATGACAGCTTAGCAACCAGCTGTGTCTACTTGACCCTGCCCTTGGGGTTTCCACTCACTCACGAACAGCTTACCAGCCAAACAGGATGCTAGAAAAGTTCTGGTAAATATGACTTTCTGAGACTCATCACATTTTGCAAGTTTTAGCAACCCTGAAATCTTGATGCCCCTGGCCACTGCCCATCTCCTTCACCCCTTAATCCAGCCCTGAATATATGCTGACTATATATATTAAAAGATCCCGCAATGGGATGAAACGAATGAAAAGCCCGTGAAGATGTATAATTACTGACTTTATAACTTTCTATTCTTCAGGCAAGACTCAGCAAACATCGATATGAATTCTTTTTCAAGGAAGAGCGAATTTGAAATTGACATTTTGATCTTAATTTTACCTTGAATTCTCTCTGCTACATGACATGTAAAAGTCAAAATGTATTACAATAAAACTGAAAGTATATTCATTACATATATATTAAAGACATCTACAATTTTGAAATAAATAACGACAGTGTTCAATGGAGAAAATTGCTGGGCAAGGACACAGTGTTGCTTCAGAATTTCAATGAGGAGCAAACCGAATCCCGCACTTCATTCTCTACCTCACAGGCATTCCATCTCTAATCCTAACTACAAATAGCACTCAAAAAATCCATCAGTCAGCACACATTCTTACCAGGCAATAGAATTTTCATCTACCTTTTTAAATCAGCCATTAATGAAAAGACTGTACACATAATAAATGCACTCAGTTTGGAGATCTGGAGCACCAGGACTGAGGTCAGAAATCCCTGCCTTGACTCTAGCCAGAAAGTCCAAGAGAACTTTCTGCAGTGATAGAAATGTTCTGTAATACCTGTGCTGTTCAAATGAGTAGTCAGTGGCCACATATGGTAATCAGACACTTGAAATGATTGTGGAACTGAATTGCTTATCATATTTAATTTTAATTTCAGTATTTATTAATAACCACACATATGGCTAGGGGTTATCATGTTGGGCTGCACAGCACCCATTTGCATTTGCATTTGTGACAATCTTACCCCTAGGCCTATCACCATCTGCATGACAGTATAAAAATCTTTGGAACAATGCTGTCCTCTGACCCACCTCTTTATTGATGTACAAGTGAGAAACATGGCTTCCCATGTATTTCAAATACCTGGTTTTCCCGTCTTTCCGGGTTCTCCTTTCTGCCCTACAATAGGTGAGCAACAACGACAACAATTCAACAAGAAATCAGCTGTGTCAAGAGTGAAGTTTTCAAAGGAAAAGAGAGTGGCAGTGGTGAAGGCAGACTCCAGGGCTGAGGGTTCAGTGGGTGCCGCCATTGCAGGCATTTCCATCAGTGGGTTTTCTTCTTCCTCCTGAGGTGAACCACTGGATGGCTTTAGACCCTTGGGTATCTCTTCTCCTTCATATTTTTTCGTAAATTTGATGTATGGTGTGGTCTTTGCTCTTGTGTCCACACCAGCAATAGCCAAAATAATTAAAATGAACCAAATCCAAGAAAACATCCACATATCTGAGGCTGAAAGAAAGATAGAATAAAAAAATAGACACAAATTATATGAGTTTCAATTGAAAAGACTAAGTGAAATAAATATATACTT